TGGTCCAGTATGCAACTCCTACAGTGTGATGTAGAAACTTGAAGCCACCAGTAGTAACATTATTGAATTTTTAATGATGTAGAGTAGATCTAATGTTGGAATTATACTTTTTAGTGGAAAAAAACATATCAGACACACATTGTTCCAAGCACAGTCTCTATGTCTTATATGTCTGGAAAGGATCTTTAATTGAGAGGTGCAAAGTTGATAAGTTGTTGGATTTTTCCTTTCACTGTCTGTGTGATGTAGTGAAATCTAAAATGTGTTTCAGCCTCCCCCAAAGGAAACTGGGCAGAGACACCCGGCTCAGAAAAACGACAACAGATCAGGAGTCTGGGATACATTTAGCAGTAAATGCGCCTGCAGTTATATCTGTGTTTGAGAAACTATTTGCTATGCCAGGTCCAAGTTGCCAATATGTGGGTTTATAAATGTAATGTGCTTCAGTCTGCTTCTGCTAAAGCTTAGCCGGTGTTTGCTTATATCATGCACTGTATGGTTCATATATCATATTTAACTGTATCCCTCTGTGAGTTTGTGTTTATGCTGACATTGTATTGTGTGTGTGTGTTTGGGAAGCATTTTACCACCTTCTGTGATGCTGACTGTGACAAAGCCTCCACATTTAAGCTCTCCCGCATGTAAATGAATTTCCTGCATTTCTGAATTAAACCAAGAGCTGAGAGCTTCCCTCTGGGTTTGAACAAAGACACTGTTTAAACACACCCACACACACACACACACAGAGAAACACTCTGTGCTGGATCAGGTGTTTTTTTTGTGGGGTTCCACTGTGGGGTGCCAGGAAATAACTGCACCTCCATTTGAAAACAGCCAAAGCCCCCTGAGACCAACATGTGACTGTTCAAATGTCATTCAGTGCAGAGCAACTTTCCCTGATGCACAGAGAACAGCGTGTATAGTTTTCAATTGTGTGGAAGGCCAATCCAGCTGCCAGAGACCGAAAAACTAATAAAGTGAGTCCAAAATTTGCTGTTCTGTTTTTGAATGTGATGGGTTTAGGTTGGTGCTGCCCAATCCAGGCCAGCTACGGCCAGATAAGAGACTCAAAACAAATCTGAGCGAGTGCCAGTAAGACTTGCTCAGCTTTCCAAACATGATGATCCTCCTACCCATAATCCCTTGTGTTTTGGGGACGTTCCACAACACAGATTTCCATTTTTAGGTGCCTCAGTGTCATTACTTGGAAGTGAACCTTATTAGACTTTTCAGATAAATCAATCAAAACCTACATAAGTAAATCATAAAACATGATAACACTTAGGACTTAATTATGGTATAGATTTATAATCATACATTAAATTACATTACAGGTCAAAAGGGGCTGGTGTGTGTTTCTGTGTCTAAAGCTTTAGAGGAAATTAAAGCAATCTCATTTTTATTGTAGTAATTTTTTTTATTAATGTCATTAAAACCTCATGTTTATTCAGCATGATTCGAGAAAACAAAAACAAACATCCACTCACGCACCATCATACTGTTAAACAGACACAACAACATTAGCACATTGATACATTTATAAGGCAGTGTTAGGTCAAGGCCTCTGTTAGTGTTCATTAATGAGAGCTGCAATCAACACTGATTGTATTTAACACGTTTCCGTTCATCGCTCTCGCTACTCTCTCTCACTCCACTTTAGCTCTCTCTCAACATCGCTTTACCTCTCTCTCACACATAAAGATTCTTACTTTTTTAAGTGCGTCTATCTGTGCAATTAGAATCCCTTTCCCTTCCATTCAGATTCATAGATATTTCAGGATGCGTTCACTGTTCCATTGTTTTTTAAGTGCAACTTCAACTTCATTTTGGGCTGAAAACATTGTAGAGCAGGAGGTGTTCTGACTGTCAGGTGTTTTATTCTCCTCAGACTGTGGAACAATTTGCTTATATTATTTCTTGTCTTTATTATATCATTATTCATTGCTTTCATTATGAAAGGAAATTATGTATTGATGATAAGAAACATTAGATCTTTTTTGTGATGACTTTACAGAGCACTCAAAGGAAGCTTGGAACACTTTCTGTTGCTTCTTATCCAATCACCCTATCGATCTGTTCTAATTTCACATTAGTGGTTAGTCAGTGGACAGTCACAGCACGCTGTCTTTATAGTGAAATTCTCTCTCCTTGCACGAGGCGGCCTCTGAAGGCCCAGGTATCCTGTGGGAGAAACAGAATTAAAGGGTCAGGTCACCAAAAACAAACCAGAAGTGTAATTCTAGATTTCTTTCCTTTAACAAATTTTCTTTTTGTTACATCACTGGCCTCTTGGAAAAAAAAAAAAAGTGTGTAGGGACTTGGCTTGGGAACCGGAGGGTCGCCGGTTCAAGTCCCACAGGCCACAAATATTGGAGTGTGGACTGGTACTGGAGAGGTTGCCAGTTTCACCATCCTGTGCTCTTGCCGAGGTGCCCCTTTTTGAGCAAGGCAACTACACCCGAAACTGCATAGGGCGGGCTGGTATACAAAAACAAGCCAGTCATCCACCTCTCTGCCCTGTGCAATGTCGGCACCGATGTGCAATGAAGTGTGCATTTTCAGCCTGCGTGGCTGTGTGTGTATATCAAAAAAGAGTGAAAGAAACAATTTCCCTAGGGGATCATAAAGTATATCATCTATGTCTTTCTTTCTTCTTTTCTTCTATTGTGCTTTTTAAGTGTATTCTTGCAAATGACGTCACATTTAGAACTACAACAAATAATCAAATCATATGTATACGCTGTCATTCAATCTTATAAAGCTGTTCACGTGTTTTGTCTGACTGAAGTAATGCAAGTCGTGGACGACTCTGTTTAAACAAACTATAGAAAAATACCAAGGTATTCGAGCTGTATCAAACACTTTCAAGCCCCGTATCATATTGTTTTATAGTAGGTAATGTTTTAAAAAAGATGAATGTAAATGTCTGACCTTGAAGGTAATATTGTCGTCCATGGCGTACTTCCTGGCTGCGATGTCGCACCTCCCTTACTCTATGTTTTTCCTGTGTGGTTTCCCTTTACACATCGATGTAAATAGCGTGCAAGCGCTGGACATAAGTGGCAGGAGATGGCCTGGAAACACACACCACAGCACACACACACCACACAACACACACACACAACACACACCACACAG